ATATTAACAAAGTTTCTTTTTATACATAGATGGTAGGGCTGGCAATATGGGCCAGCCCGCCCCGGCCCGCCACTAGCCCGCCCAAAATGGGCTGGTCCGCCCCGGCCCGTTTTGACAAAATGGGTTGAAAGGAGTAACCCGGCCCGTTTTATGAGTGGGCTGGCGGGCTACGGGTCAGCCCGCCTAAAATAAAAAAATATAAAAATAAAATACAAAAACTTAAATTCTGCATAAAATCACATAAAAAAATCTGCATAAAAGCATACAAAAATCTGCATAAAATCCTAATGTGCTTATGAAACCAAGAAGATCAGTGTTTAATAATCTGCATATAAATATGCATCTTTCATTCCAAAAACAATAAAAATAAAATAAAATCATATCAGGATAAAATAGAGTAACAAAACAAGTAACAAAGTGTTGTATGAGCAGTCCACAACAATTCAAAAAAGCCACTTGCATGCAGAGAAATCTAAGATACGGAGCTACATAACAATTGGATAACCTAAAAAAAAAAAAAAAATACTTGGCGGGCTGACCCATATGGGCTGGCGGGTTTGGCGGGACGGGTTTGGCGAGCTGGTGGGTTGAAAAACTCAACCCAGCCCACCCCATTTGGCAGGCGGGGCGGGCCAGCCCGGCGGGCTCAGCCCATTTTGCCGGCCCTAATAGATGGTTCTGAAGTCTATTTTCATCTGTATCGAATAATAAATAATACAATAAAAAACTTAAAAACTTTTTTTTTATTTAAAAACAAATTTTAATGACCCTTATGTATTATCACATCGAAAAGGTCAATTATCATTAATGTTCTTAAAGACTTCTTTTATTATCTCTTAAATGCCACTGACTCAAATAAAATAGAGAAAATGAGAAATCAATTTTTTTGGGGTGAAGGATCTCATGTTAAAATATCACATCCTAATATTATAGTTTAATGTGTTTAATTTTTTTTATTATCATTAAGGGCAATTTTGGATTCTTTTATTTTAGCTTTTTTTATAAGTAAAAATTAGGCCAAATAAAATTTAAGAAATTTTTTTTTTATAATGAAAAAAAATTAAAAAATTCTAAGAAGAATTTTTTTTAAGCTCTTATAAGTTTTTTTTAAATTATGTAATTTTTTTGAAATGAAAAGTCATACAGATAGGGAAAAAGATTTAGTGATCCTGCCCCAATGTGCTCCTTCTACTGAGAGATTGGCACTTATATAAAAAAAATTTATTCTCTTCTCTCCTGATTAGTTGTTACATTTTTATTGGTTTGGACCACTTAAAATTTGATTCTCCCGTGCATCAAAACTCTTCTCTCGAGATAAAGAGACTTTTCTTAGAACATATGCTTTTAAACTAAATTTTTTAGGGTTCGTTTTTTCTGCAGTTACTGCAGATAACTTATCTGCAGTAAGCCAATACGATGTTATTTTGGGCGGAAATCATGGTCTTTTTGTAATTTTAATTTATTTCAGGATTATAATAGTCTTTATATTTATAATTTTTTAAGATTTCAATACCAAAACGACGTCGTTTTGGGGAATAAATGCAGATAACTTATCTGCATTAACAACATAAATATTTTTCCCAATTTTTTTATGTAATAATCAAATAACTTTTAATTTTTTTAAGCTCTTTTTTAGTTTTAGCTTAAAAGTAGCTTCTATCTAAAAAAAAAATACAAATAAGCTCTAAGTAGATGGTTCAATTAAAATTTATAAAGATAAAAAATAAACACAATTTTTCTATATATCTAAATTTAACATGAGATTTTATTTTCTAAAATTTTAGTCCCCGCAATACATATCACATATGAATCTAGTGGCATCACATACATTCATACTGGTAGTGGTAGGAAACACCACACTTCTACAAAAATCCTTTTTATTGGGATGAATATATCCAAGTGTGTTTTTTCAATTATGGAGGAAGTAAATGATGTGTACATGGTAGAAGTATTAATAATAAAGTTCTATACTCGAGCATAATTATATTTTGATTATAGCATTCATATTTTATAAGATGAAAAAAATATCTGTTGTTATCAAAAAAAAAAAAAAAAAATCTGTTATTTTAAATGACATAATTTTGTATTATCTAAGATGAAATAATGTCATTTTTGTGTATATTTAATACTTTTTTTACTTTTTCTTTTCTTTATAAATTTAGGAAGAGAGATAAAATAGATGAGAAATAATGTAAAAAATCATCAATTATCCACAAAAATGACATTTTTCATCTAAAATAATACAAAATTATGTCATTTAAAATGATCAATATTTTTCTTTTTATAAGAGTGACTTATAATGATTTGTACTTTGATATTTCAAAATAAAGTCAATTTCAATAGGATTTACATTTCAAATCTTTTGTGTCATATATGTATATAATTAAAGGTTGAAATACTTGTTATCAAAAAAAAAAAAAAAGGTTGAAATACTTAAGTTTCTCGATTAATAATCGAAAAATGTTACACAAAGCATAAAAAAATTAATTCTCATAATATTTAGATGAATCAATGTTTTCTTTATTCAAATTTAACTCTAAATTTGATTGCTCATTCATTTGCTGGACAGTAATCTTAAGTTTTACTTGATATCTTCACATTGGAGGCATACATTTTTTTTTTCTTTTTTGAATACAGAGGCATACATTTTGAAGTCCATTTTCATGTGCATCAAATAATAAATAATACAATTAAAAAACTTAAAAATATTTTTTTTATTTTTATTAAAAAAAATAATTTTAATGATACTTCTTTATTATCACATTCAAAAGGTCAATCACCATTAATGTTCTTAAAGATTATTTTTATCATCAATTAAATGCCACCGACTCAATTAAAATAGATAAAAAAAGAAGAAAAGAGTGAATTTTGAGAAGTGAGTAAATTATCTCAAGTTAAAATTTTATCTCCAAATGTAAAAATTTTGTGTGTTATTAATTTTTTTTTTTGGTAAGTTGAGTTTTTTTATTATTAAACAAATAAATGTAATTAAAATTTACGAAGAAAAAGATAAATATAATTTTACCAAATCATCTAAATTTTGATATAAGAGATTTTATTTCCTAGTTTTTTCGTCCTTATAATCCATATGACATATAAATTTAGTGGTATGACTCATTCTTGTCAAAACTAGTGTAAAAACGTAAACATTTACGTTTTTACGTTTTTACTGGAGTGATGCGTGTTAAAACTCAAGCAAAAACTGTCATTGGTAAAAACTGGTAGAAACGTCGCGTAAAAACGGTAAAAACTTACGTTTTTATCGTTTTGACCATTTTTACTTAAAACTAAAAAGCGTAAATACCCTTTTTAGTCCCTAACAAAAAACACGGTCCTCACTTTAGTCCCTTGCAAAAATAAATTAGTCAGTTAGTCACTAACAAATTCAAAGTGGACCCATTTAGTTGAAATCGTGGTCCCTCACAAATTCAAAAAAGACCCAAATTAGTCCCTCAAAAGGACTAAAATGGGTCCACCTTGAATTTGTTAGGGACTAACTGACTAATTTATTTTTGTAAGGGACTAAAGTGGGGACCGTGTTTTTTGTTAGGGATCAAAAAATGTATTTACTCAACTAAAAATTTAATAAAAAAAAAGATTTACAAAAAAAACCTAATTTTCGTTTTCCCCAAATCATATTCACAATATCTTAATATCTTTTTATTTGGATATATGTTTTTTATAATTGGGAATAAGAAGAATAATGTTGTAGGAAATTTTTATGGTTATGTTATAGAGATAGGAAGTGTGGGACCCACATGTGTTTTCAAAAATAAAAAAACAAAACAAGTGTGGGTCCCACAATCTCTATCTCTATAACATTACCTAACAACTTTCCTACAACATTATACTTCTATTTCCCTTTATAATTATGTCTTATAAAACTGCAATTCTATTATAAGTTATGCTGTGAGAATCATATTGTGTTTTTGGATTATTGTGTGCGTTGAAAGAAGTGAAATTATACCTGATGACTGATGAACGATGATCCAAAATCTAAAGAGTGTATAAAACAGTTAGAGCAAATTGGTTATTCATTACTTGTTAATTATCACTGTTTATAATTTTGATACTTGGTTATGAAAAATAATTTTCCCTTTTAGATAAATAAGTGGCTCAACACACATGTTCAGTATGTGATATTTTTTTTACATGCATATATATAATTTTGTATCTTAACCTTAAGTGGTAGAAAGTAAAAATTTTACGTTTCGTGTCGTTTCTACATTTTTACGTTTCTACCATCTCTTTTCGTTTCTATGTAGAAACTCGAGTTTGACAACATTAGTATGACTAAAGAAGAAATAACAAAAAAATGAAAATAATTTCAGTTAAATGAGTCGATATTTTATAATTAAATTTGCTACAAAAGTTTTGAAAATAGAGGAGGAGAGAGGAGAAAGTCACATATCAAAACTCACATGTCAACTTTACATGCGAACAGGGATTTTCATACACTGCCACGTAGCTATCGCAATAAATTTTAATAAAAAAATGTATGTCATTTTAAAATTTGTGTTATTTTAAATAAGATAAAGAGATAGATTATAAGAGAGAAAGTGAAAAAATAAATAAAAATAAAGATGTGAGTGACATTTTTTATAAGAGTGAATGACACAAATTATTATGTCATTTAGAAGGATAAATATTTTTCTTATTTTTAATGAATTTTTTTTCTACAATCAATATAGATAATTTAATTACATTGAGTCTAAAATGATGTCGTAAGCTTAAAATGATGTCGTTTGGAGACAAAAATTAAAATATTTTTGTAATTATAATTCATTTCAGAATTATAATAATTTTTTTATAATAATTTTTTAATCAAAAATATTGAGAACAAAAATATAGATAGTTGACTGTAGAAACATCAAAAAAGCCATTTTTAATTTATTTTTCCCCACTGCGGTCATAACGTAAACTGAAGAAAACTGAAGATGATTTTCTTTAAACTTTTTCATTAAAAAACAAGTTTATTGCAAGTTCAGCAGCATCATCACCCTTCTTTCTTATGTAAGTGTCTCTGATTTCGAGGCCTTCCTTTCACACTCTTCTGAAACAAAACAAAAACAAAAAAAATGCTCTAATATCCATTTAGCAACAACAATGGCTAAAACCCTAACCGTGAAACCGTTTTAACCAATCTTCGCATTCGCCATGAGCCACGACGTCGATCATCATCTGACGGAGCTTTCAGGTTCCTCCCTAAGCATTCCCTCGGACAATGACTTTCACTTCTACTCCAACTTCGCCGAATTCAAACGCCCAATCGAAGAAATCGCGAGGAAAACGCACTCCATGCTCGATAAAATCGGCTCCTCCGAGCATATTTGGGGCAGAGGTGCGGCTTTTCCCGTCGACATCGATGATGCTTTTGAATGGCTCGGCAACACGAACGACGAGGTTTTTGAGCTGGTTGATGAGTTGTTGGATGAGTGTTGGAAGGTTGAGAAGGAACGGGAAAATGTGTTTGGGTTGGGTTGTGAGATGAAGAAGAAGATGAAAGAAGCGATTCATGAGGGTCTTGACTTGAGAAATGGGAAGGTGCCTTTTCATATTCCGACTATTCGGAAGCCTCAGTATGTGTACAAGATTGTGGTTAATAATTCAAACCAGCCTTTTCAGCATGTTTGGTTGCAGAAGAGTGATGATGGTCAAAGGTTTATCCATCCACTGGTTGGTTCACTGCTATGGATTTTTTTTATATGCTTTGCTTTGTTGGTCTACTGTGTCTTGTTTTAAAATTTAATTAATGTTTGAACTCGTGAATGGAAAAGATGGATTTGAGACATGGGGTGCTAATTTATTATTAAATTATTGAGTTCTCATTATTAAATGCTTCAAGTTGTGCCATGATCTTATTAATGTTTTTGACCTTTTTTTTCTTCTTTTCTTTTTCTTGGGGATGTGTAGAATAATATTCAAATTGTTTCTGAAAAATCAGGATTGAATTGGACAGTTAAACAATTAGGGGTGATCACAAGCATTTTTCCTTTATAGGGAGTATTTTGACACTTTGGTGCATGCACTCACACATATGTATTCATCCATGCAAATGCAACATAAATTTCAGTAATCTATGTTATCTATGATTTTGTTTATCTATTGTTTAAAGGATGGAGAGAAAAGAACAGTGTGGTTTTCTGTGTATGTGGTTCATTCTTGAATATACTTGTCAAACGTGCATATGTATTTTACTGTAGTCTGTGGTCATGTTGTTTTGTTTATTTTATTTGGTTCTTCAGACACAACATGTAAATAAATTGTTCCATGAGATAAGAAGCTCTTGTTTCAACTAAAATATCGGGCTTGACATTTGAGAATGACTTTAGTTAAACTCTACTGCTTCCCTTTGATACTAATATTTTGACTAGCCTTTTCAATCTAGAGGAGATAACAATGCAAGTTGAATGGGGTATTTCTTAGTATTCCTCCAGTCCAGAGCATTCATGCAGAATTTTTTATATGTTGACTTGATATTATTGGAAGCAATACCATAGTAGGAATTTTTTATATGTTGACTTTATATGTTTTACATTAGTAATCTACAATTCTACATCTCCTATCTGTGTGCTAACGAAAATCTTTCATAATTTTTTTAATGTGAGTTTCACATGAAAACCAATCTGTGAATAGTGCCCAAATGGTTCTCAATCTCATTGGTCTGGTTTATTCCGCCTTCACCTCTTCCACTGTTTACTCACTTGTGATTTCTGTTTCTTCCTTAGTTTTATTAATTCAACTAGATTCATACCCACTTCGTGTGACAAAAAACTTCGTATTATATAGCATAACCCTTAATTCTATTTTTTCATTATTTTATTGTGTAATTATTAATTTATATTTCAGGAAAAACTCTCTGTTTTGGATTTTGTTGATAAAGAAAATATTGAGGATCTTGTGCCAGTAAAGCCTCTTTCAATCGAATGCACCCCTTTCAAGCTTGTGGAGGAAATCAAAGGATTGAAGGAGTTGGCTGCTAAGCTGCGTTCTGTTAATGAATTTGCGGTATAACATGATGCTAATATGCTATTCGTTAGTTTACTAAAATGTTTCCTCCACAACTTGTTATACCATTAGATTCTTGTCTCTGTGGCCTGATTGTATATTTCATTTAGAGATTTTTCCCCTTAGTCATAAGCAAGATCATGTCATATCGCTAGATTCTTGTTTCTGATATGTGTAACCGCAATAATTCATGATACAAAATTAAAATTCCCTCATTCACTTTAAATATTGATCTTAAGTAGCACAAATCCTGGTGCGTTTCTTGGGATTCAGATATCTAACTCTGTTTCGTTTTTGTTTAGGTTAAAGAAAAGAAATCTGTTGAGATATGAATATAATTTCAATGCTGTTGCCTATTGAACTGTTCTTGGCAACTGAGTTTCCCTTAGAAACTTCAAGTTTTGGAATCTAATGTATAACTTGGATAATAAGTTGTTCTCTCATTCCTCGTGCAATAACACTTAATATCAGATTTGATTAATTATTTAATTTGTGCATCTTCCCTGCATTTTACAGGGTTCTTATTGTATATAATGTAGGAAGCTGATTAAGGATAAGATTTCAAATAAATTTTGTGTCCTTTAATTGCTTTTGAAATTCATGATATTGTGTTGAGTTGTAGACATTGTTCAATCTGGGATCAATAAATTGCACATATTAATTGTATCAATCTGGCTCATTTTATTTGAGAATGTGTACAGATCTATACTGCAAGTCTTAAGCTCGAGCCTTTCAAGCTACTTGGCATGTGTCATTCATGAAAATAAGCAGTTATTATGCCTTTTTTTATTTGATGTTTTGCTCATGGCAGATGAGTTAGTGAATAGTGATATGCTCTGAGTTGATGGATACAGGTATGAGTGCCTATATCAGTATGGATGTATGTGGGTATGGAGTACGACAAAATTTCTAAAATAATTAATTAAATTATAAGATAAATATGATTTTCATAATGTTCTAAGTTCTAACTTCTAACGCAAGTAATAAAAAATATTAATGAAGGCACAAGTTTTGAAGGAAGTGAAGCAGCAGTTTGTTTCTTTTAATGGAAAACCAAACCACTTAGTAACTAAACTAGATGTTGTACATGAACTAACTTGTACTTGAGTGATAAGTGAGTATTAGATACATGCTTGTGTATCCAATAAATGCCGGGTATGGGTATGGAAACCATTTATGAATACCTATACATCATAGGATATGCTCAACTTGTTATATCACGGATTTTTCTGTTTGGATTTATATTTCTCTTGCTGTGATCATAATCTGTGTTGGTTAAGTTTTTTTTTTTTGGCTGATTGTGGGGATTTTAATTTATTTTTTTATATATGTTTTTATCTTGCTTTTGTACTATTGAGTTCTACTTCTTTTACTTAATTATTGGACTAATATCCTCCCCTTCTTGTAGTTATTTCTCATGTCCCTTTTTTCATTTTATTCTCTTGACATTTTTGTCTTGACTTGGAATTTTTAGGTGGATTTAGAACATAATCAATTTCGGTCTTTCCAAGGTTTGACATGCTTGATGCAAATCTCAACCAGGACTGAAGATTTTGTTGTAGATACTTTGAAGCTTCACGTTCATATTGGGCCGTACCTTAGGGAAGTCTTCAAGGACCCTACCAAGAAGAAGGTCAGATGCGCTAGATGAATGTTAATTTAATTCAATATACTTGCTTCTTTCTGTTGACACAATATGGTTAAATAGGTCATGCATGGAGCAAATCGTGACATTGTGTGGCTACAACGGGATTTTGGCATTTATGTTTGTAATATGTTTGATACTGGCCAGGTTTGTTTGAAAAGCTCTGTATGTTCAATATTGAAATTACTTCCCTTAGTAGTTATTAGTTATCTAGGAAAGGAATTTGAGAAACGAGTTATATAATTGTTATTGTATTGTTTCTTATGTAAATTAGTTTACTTCATTATATGATACTGGCTCTGCACATGTAGAGGGCATGCAAAAAGTACTTGCAGCACTAATTTTGGCAGATTGACCAAAATGGGTTTAAAAAATATCTACCAAAAAAATATTTTCCAAAACTTATTTACCTTATTAGGGATAGGAATCACACGTTGTAGCCCGTGGGATGGGAGAGATGCTAGTTAGAGTGACATGTGGCAGCCCTAATCATAGTTATAGAAATCCAAATGTTCAATTGCTTTCAAATCATCATATGTTCATGAGTCTGGGTGTGAGAGTCTCATTTCATAATATAAATAAAGTTAATTAATTGCCAAAATTATAATAAAAAATTAATTATCTGGGTTATAATAAAAGATTGGTAATGAATATGAGTAATATTTAAATTTTAGACAAAATATTATTTAAAGTATATATAAAAAATCAACTGAGTTTGAATTTGATTAATTTTAAAATTTAAATTCAAACTTTGAGTTAATTTTTAATTTATTCAATTCTTATTACGGGTTCGAATCTGGGAAACAATCTCTTTGCAATTATCTAAGGGTAAGGCTGCGTACAAGGAATACCATTATCCCACCCTCGCTAGTCGGGTTTAATGGGGAGTGGTTTTTTTTATCTTTTGATTCAAAATTGTAATTTTAATCAAATTATTTCCATTTTAAATACACTAAACATAGTAATAGAAATCACACGATTTGTGATTCAAATTGCATGATTCAATACAATTTGCCAAGCCAATGATTATTATATGATGAATCAGAGATGGTTTTGAATCGTACGATAAATGCATGAATCGACGTGATTCCGTATCTCTTATATAAATCACACAATTCAATTCATTTTTTTTCTTTCATCAATTCTCATAAAAAAATTAAAAAGTCAAACAAGCTTAAGTTGTTAAATCAAAAGAACTAAAGGAACATCATTAAATGCACTCTATTTGATTATTCCATTGCCATGTTTTCATTATTTTGAAATAGGGGTTTCACACACTGATTCACTCTATGCATCCTATTTGGCTATACCATTGCTTTGTTTTAATTATGCTGAAACAGTCTTCACACAATCACTTGCTCACTCTATATGCACCTTATCTGGCTATATCATTACTCTATTTTCGTTCTTTTAAAACATAAGCTTCGTGTAGTCACTTTATTTGATTTAGTTAGTGAGTTATGATTAAGTTATTTATCAATTTCTAGTTCCTAGTCCAAAATTATTACATTGTGCATTATACATCATTTGTATAACATACCTGAACCTTGTTTTTATTATGTCTCTGAATCTTATGATTCGGTACAATTTACTATTCACATTTCAAAAATTAGCTTGGTGAATCACGATTTTAATTGCGGTTTTATAATCTTGACCCTAACTTTTTGGAAAGTTGTTGCATGTGGTAAGTAGATATTGCTTGCAATTGTGATACAATTTGACATATTGAAAAGCCAATGAGAATGAGAGGTAGTTGTTATTAAACTCAGCTCTCCATTGCTAAGTGCAATGAATCAGTGAGCAAGAGGCTCCTTGGTTGATATTCATGATGATTAAAATAGCAAAAGACCAAATGTACAAGCTCTCGTCTTGCTCTTAAAAGACCCCTCATTTTTGACTTGGATACCAGTGTCTCGTGAAGGGAATTGCACCTCTATTATTATTTGACTCAACAAAACACATGATAAAACTAGCTGTCGCCACCTCAAATTTCAATGCCAATTTAATTAAATTAAATGAAAATTTAATTATTGGAAGGGGAACATGTTACATGACAATCCGTTAGAGATGCTCTAGTCCACCTAGTGCCTTATATAGTGCCTCTCTGAGGTGCAGCATGTGTCACTGTTTACTTTTGTTTGAAAAAAAGGGGGGAGAAGCGCTAGATGGACTAGTGCCTTTACTCGGGTTGCCATGTGTCATTCCTGTCCCATATAAGGTAAACAAGTTTTGGAAAATATTTTTTTGGTAAATATTTTTTAAACCCAAATTTGGTAAATCTGCCACTATTTTCTGTATTACCTGATAAATTAGGGCTGTAAATTTTTATCTATGATTATTGCAATTTATTTCTTAAACTAGTCATCCAAGAAGAATGGGCTTCACATAATAATACTTGAGTGTTTTGTTGAATGTTGGACGAGTTTGGCTTCCTTAGAGTAATAAGGTATGACTTTTTTGCTGCAGCCTTGGAGAAAATACTGGAAATCAACCTCATCATGAGATCTATGTCAGCTTTTATTTTGATTGAGCCTTTTGCTTGCTTGTCTGATCTAATGTCTGTATGAGTTTCTGCACCAGGATTGTACAGTTACTTTTAAAATAGATGTTTTATCCATATGAATATTTTGAGGCATGTTTCCAGGATTTTGTGTTATCCTTGTGCTACCCTCATATATTTATAAGATCTAATAAGAATTTTCTTTTCATTTGTCATAACCCTGAAAGGTCACGGGTTCGAATATGGGAAAGAGTCTCTTTGCAAATATGTAAGGTTAAGGCTGCGTTTGAGGATTTCCCTCACCCTTATCCTTGCTAGTTAGGGTTAGATGCAGATATTTTTTTTGGCATAACCCTGAAAATATTTCAGTGTTTAGCTTTTCATGCTTTTATAATCTGTTGATTTGTTCTGTGACATTAAGAAATGGTGAAACAAGCTTTAAAGTTCTGTTGCTTTTGATTATCCTTGTCATATTCTATGCACGTTGATCACATTGTAGGTATTTATTATATATTGTTGTCGTCTTTTTATCTAACAAGACTAATGAATATTTTGATTGCATTGCTCAGGCTTCAAGAGTGTTAAAATTGGATAGATATAGTTTGCAATATCTTTTGCAACACTTTTGTGGGGTTACTGCAAACAAAGAGTATGCTGTCTATATTTTTTGGAATTAACCCTACCTTCCATTTATCTTAACAAAGCTTTATCATTTCCTATGGCATGACTATTTCTTTTATTTTTACCTACATTCTGGAAGGTTGACAAGTCAACTCCTTGCAGGTACCAGAATGCAGATTGGAGACTACGCCCTCTCCCCGATGTGATGATAAGGTGCAACTGCGTTTTTAATTTATCAAATTGGATCTGTTCTTGGTTCTTCCTGTGGTTGTTTTCCTTTTCTGCTCGTCTTATATTCTTTTCTGGTTGAACTGTGTATTTTAGTCTGTAATAATCAACACAAGGTATAAAATCCCGGTTTCTTGGGACAGGTTTGAGTACTTAGATCAGTTGCCATTTTCCTTGTACTCAGACATATGCAATTCACTTAACACTAAGAATTTGGCATATATTTTAAGCAGAACTACTCTTGATCATACAGGCATAAGTTTTATAATGAAGCTTCTATTTGGTAGTTAGCACCCCCAACACTCAAGGATTTAGCAAGCTTGTGACTTGGACTCAAGCATCCTTGAGCTGATTGGAGGTGTCATTCATTTTTCTGAAAAAGTTATGACTAGAGGTGTCGTTCATATGGGAATCATTTTCTTGAAAGTTACTCTACTCTATATATATTTTTCTTACAACTACTTTGCTGCTTGCTAACATTGAAGGTTATGATGGTTATGGAATGGGAATAATGAGAGGTGGGAAATGGATATTAGGATTTTGGGAAATATATTATATTTGTATGTATGAAAATCACTTGTAAGTAGAGTATTCATTGGTAGCTTAATGATTATTTAGGTTTTTTTTTTTTTTTTTTTTTTTTTTTTTGTAATTTAAGATTTCTATTAAATGAGTTTTTATTGAAATTGGGTTTACTTGGTTATTAAGTTGGGTATTTGTTAGTGCTAGTAGGGTTGCACTGTCTTAAGTTGCCATGTACGAAGATTCTCAGCGTATGTTTTGGAATTGAGATTACTAATTAGTAGTTTCTGTTTTCCCTCCTTTCTATCTTTAGATTTTCCCTCCTTAATCTTTCTGCCTATTGTTTTTTGTTCCCTCTACTGTGTCTACTTGACCGGCAGCTCTTCTTACATTGATTATTTGCAGAATTGTCACAAGCATTAATGATTTCTACTGTTATGACAAAGCCAATTGTATATAATTCCTCCTCCTTCCCAAAAACCAGATAAAAAAATGAAACTGTTGTAGAGCTTGGTTTTGGTTTATTACTCACTCCTGATTATAAGTCTAAGATCTTATGTGATAATGACTTGTATACTGTCCCAGTGATTTTAATTACTACAATCTAATGTACTATTATTCTGATGATAGATACGGCAGAGAAGATACACACTATCTGCTTTATATATATGATTTAATGAGGATCAAGTTATTTGCATTGTCTAAGGAGTCTGAAAGTTCTGATAATCCTCTGCTGGAGGTAAGTTGGGATCAAAGTATCTAGAATAGCAAGTGATCTATCAATCATTCCTTGCTAGCCAATATTTCAATTCTTAATCTTTAATCAAATAGCTAAACAACATAACTGAATGGCTGGTTTACTGAGTCCTTTTTTTAGCCTTTTAACTAGAATTTACTGTCTCTGACAGGTTTACAAGCGCAGCTATGATGTCTGCATGCAGCTATACGAGAAAGATCTTCTGACAGAAAAATCATACCTTAATATACATGGGTTTGTTACCTTTTCCAGCTGTCAATCTTTAGTTACTTTAGGACTCTATACAAGTAGCAAGTTTTCCAAACTACGTGTATTTTTTAGTTACTTTTCTACTTCTAGAGAGCTTGTGTGTATGTGTGTATTTTGAAGTTTCTGCTTTGCACTTAATACCTGCCAAGCTGTGTAAACAAAAAACCAATTTCTGTTTCCGATACAGGTTACGAGGGGCTGGTTTTAATGCTCAGCAGCTTGCCATTGTTTCAGTAAGTTGCTCTTTAATTTCTTATTTGTATCTTTGATCACTTACGCAAGGAATGAAACTGCCTGATTTTTCTGTCTAAAACAATTTCTGCTGTGCATATAGGGAGCCCTCAGATATAAATTTTGGTACATGATTTAGAAATATTGTTAATCCTGCCATCATAGTCTAGAATCCTGTATTTGGTTCAAGAATTGAAATAAAATCTGTAGGAAGCTTGAATTTCCTTGGGATTTTATTTCACACAAAAGTGGAAAAGCAATTTCCACCCTGGACCATGGTGTTTTGTAGATAAATCTCTCTTGGTAATTCTCTCTATTTTATGAAATGACATGTTTGCTCCTATAGTGTTTAGTATCCAACTCAATACGAGTGTACCACATGGATATGGAGATACAGCATACAAATCTATTTCCCCCCATTTTGGTGTATAAGTATTGGTATCGGTATGATACCCTCACATCCAACATTTTCAAGTATCCCATGCTTGACTCTATGTTACTTTAACAACTTACTCCCCTGCCAAAATATACATTGTGGCTACCATTTTTGTCATTGCTCAACGAGTTATAACTGTTACTGCTATTTTTACCTTTTCGGTAGTATCTTCTATAACATCTACCTTTTCAGTAGCATCTTCTATAGTACTGCTTCATTTTTCCGCTACTCTGCTATTATCTCAATGACTCAACCATCACTAGTACTTTGAATAGTTATCTTGCTGAAATATATTGGTTTCTATCATGAATAACAGTTTTGGTTGGCCTTCTCAGCATACTGCATGATATATGTTTCTCAGAAACAGAATCCATATAGCATCCATCACTGCATGACCTAGTTACCGTCTCAGGAATTTATTATAAAGAACTGTCCAACTTCTAAACTAATAAAATGATGACCTACGTTGCTTACACTTTGGATTTCGTTATGGTCCACCCCTATTATATTTCAAGAGCTCTATTTGCATGGCTGGCAGGGGCTTTATGAATGGCGTGACATTCTTGCTCGTTCGGAGGATGAGAGTCCTGGCTATGTTTTGCCAAATAAAATTATTCTTGAAATCGGTAAATGAAATTTATGCAGACTTCTGTGTTATCTTTTGTCTAACAAGTAGCACTTTTTGTATGTAGCATATAAACTTATTTTGTGTTTACCCATTTAAAAGCTAAGCAGATGCCTGTCACTACAAGCAATCTACGGCGATTGTTAAAGTCAAAGCTCCCATATGTTGAGCGCAATATTGATGTCATTATCAACATTGTCAGATATTCTATGCAAAATGCTCCTGCCTTTGAAGAAGCTGCACTATGTTTGAAAGAAGAACATGCAGCACGTGTAAGTAATATGTTTAACAGTTGACTCTTTCTAGAATGATTGGGTAGGAGTTTTTGGTGACAGGTCTGCTTGGTACTTTACTGGTACTTGCATTGTTTTGAATTAATCTTTTTACGATTCTATGTGATTTTTTCTGGGTGCTTATTCTTTATTATTGAGTGATCAAGATGGACTGGGCTAATGTTGCGAAATCGGCAAGTATACCGTTTGTTTCAAGTTATAAAGTGATAAGTAGAGTATCGTTCCCACGAGGATTAATGCACCAAGTACTAGTTTAACTATTCTTTTCTTATTGGATAAACAAAAAGATGTTTTTGAATAATTGTGTTGTGACAATTATGAACTATTCAATAATTGTGTTTTTGAATAATTGTGTTGTGACAAACATGTTCTTAGTAGCGTGGTAGTTTCTGTGTGAAAATCTCCTTTCAAGCTATCAGTGCCATTCCCACGCTCTCAGCGTGGGCTTCAGTTTTTGCATTTTCCTTTTTAGCTCCAGTTTGTTTGTTTTTCCTACAAAATCAACACAAAATCAGTTGTGCAATCTCTGATTGAGATTTTAACAGATCAACAGTCATTATTGCCTTTTTGCTTAAGATTTAATCAACATTCTTTCTCTTTTTGGCTTAGATTTCCTTATATGTTGAACGCATATCAGCTAATGTGACTGTTAGAGTAATATAGTGTATATAATAGAATAGTCCCACATCTTGTATATGATTGTTACAACTCTGGATTTGGAAAATGGAAATTGAATGGGGAGTAGGGGAAAAATTGAAGATGAAAAGGAAAATCTTTATTGATTAAGGAAAAAGATGAAAGTCAAGAAAGGCTGCACCTTGGTCAAACCTTGGTGCGCCTACATGAGGACAAAAACAAATTTTTTTATCTTTGATGCGGGAGCATAGACAATCTATGTGTCTCATGTATTTATATTTAGGATCTGCCCCTTAAAAACATAGGGTTTAAGGATTACCTTAATCACTTGGAGACGCCAAAGTAAATGTAGTCCTCTAACGTTGATCCACACAATCGTCTCTAGAAAGCAAGCGAGAACCTTTCTCCTTGAATTCCTCTTTCTCCTTTGATGCTTGCTAGGCAATTTCTAGGTAGAGGCTTTCAAGTGTTTGGGTTAATTTCTCAAGACAAGATGGTGTCTTGAGGTTAGGTGTGGGTGCAACAAAGAAGGATTGATGAAGGTGAAAAGATGATCAAGAAAGCTAGTGTTCTTGTTCTTGGAGGCTAGCTGAATTCATCTGTGTTTCTTTCACACTTAGGGTGCCTTTTTCATATTATAGCAATTAGGGTTTTACAATCCTAATTGAACAATACTACTTAGGCCCATATCCATAACGATATGGTAAATTCTCTTAGGATTTTATTTGATCATGAAGTTAGAGAATAAATCTCATTATTTGAATTCAAAATTCAAATAGTCATTACAAGACATTTCATGATTTTCCCTCCAAGTAAGAGCTTGAAATTGAAAATCAAGCTTCATGAATCATATCCATGTAGATTTGATTTGATTTGATCATGAGATATTGAAGAATTCCATAACAAATCTCCTAACAGCTTCATCAAATTCCTTGAGTGTTGCTATGATATTATTTTTTATTTAAATTTATATTTCAAATAAAAAACAAATCTTTATCTAATCTTTATTAGATATGGATTTGGATAATTCATAATTATCCTTAATTACGTAACCTCTTCAATTTAAATTTAAATTAAATAAATTTAAATCAAATTCAAATTCAATTAATCCTAACTCGTAATAAAAATTTGAATTTGAATTCAAAATTCAAAATTTTGAAGGGCCCAAAACTCATTTTGGTCAAGTCAACTATTTGAGTAATTAGGACTGATGGCCCAAGACCCTATTGGGCCTACTAACACATTTGGGCCTACTAGTAGAAAAACTAATATTTCACTAATAGCCCAAATGGGGCGCATGATGATATTAACTCCAACCCAATTACACCTATAGTCTTGAAAAAGCCTAATAACAATTATTAGCCCAAACTTGCTAAATATAAGCAATCAAGAACAACTTGAGTGTATGACCCATTAGGCCCAATTAGTCACTGAAATAAATAAACTTGGACCAATTAAACTCCTTTAACGGGCCTAATTTATCTAATGACCATATAAGACACTAGCAATGCTTTGCGGCCCCAAAAGTAACCGAGTTGATCAAATGATCTACCTTTCTAATTTGGATATCGTGCCGACATCATCCCTCACATCGTCATTCACATTTAGTCGAGAGCAAGGATAGAGTATCATCTCTCTTAATTGACTAAATATAGCTTTTATAGAACTAGGAATCTTCTTCTATTGACTCCAAGACGGATCATGACTCCTCATGATCTCTTACTATGCATAGATTCCCGAGTCAATTAGAAGTCATCCAAGTCCTATCGATTATTGTGAACGACTAATCCCTTGTAGGGGATTGTGTATTCTTTTGGCATGTCCATCTATACTCATGTATTCGAGTTATACCCAAGAGTACACTGTTCTCCCCATTTTCAGGCGGATAGAGTTGTACAGTCAAAGTATAACCCTAGGAGATAATGTTCGATGACATCTTCAAGTCTAGGACGATCCGCACTACCAAACTTTGAGAGACTTTACAAATCCAATGATACTCTCTGCAATGAATCCTTGTGGAGTCTCTCGGCGGGTCAGTTCAGTGCCATCTGTTCTCTAACAGATCCACCCACGACATCAACTAAGGCATCTCCATGCCTGCATTCCATGAGGTCCTTACCTTGTATCTCCATACAAATAGATGATGTCGTACTAGTCTTATTGAGATCACCAATGCCCTATCTGGGTGATTCAAAACCAGGAACAAGTTTCAGGCAATAGACATGTAGTGTCCTCATGATCATGATCCCTATCATAGATCCTCGAGTGAACATCTGTTCTATTCCTAGGGCCTTTATCTTTAAACGCATATTAACCGTAAAATATAGGCGAGACATAAATATGATAAAGGAAAAAGAAACACAAGAGCTATGCTCTTCATAAGGGAGAATTCCCTTCACACTGAGAAACTACTCAGTCAATTCTGCAATATAATCTCCAAGATGATCATCAAAGAAATAATGTTGCCCTTATATAGTATCTAAGCTTTTCTCCAAAAGCCCATAACCATCTAACTACATAACTAACAAGTCTAACTATCTTTACATGACAGGGATTATCTATCTTAGGCAATGATAAATGCCCCTAACTAAAGGTCGTAACAATGATAGATTAGTTTTTGTACTTGGTTTTATACATGGTATCAGAGTCTCATATCACTGGTTCGATCCTCACCGCCTCCCATTTAGTTAATAATTAATTTAGAATTGCGGAGTTTCTTAGCATAGGTAGGTGGATCGTGCATTGACCATCCTTCAAGTCCAATGGGCTATCGTGTGAGGGGGCGTGTTAGAGTTATATAAAATCATTAATGTAGCCTCACTCAACAAAAAGCTTTTGAGTTAAATTGGTTCTTCACAGTGACGTACCACATCAAGTTGTGGGCTACCGTCTGTACTGGGTGTGCAACTAGTACTGAGATAGAAAATGCTATTCTTATTGACAGTTATCAGTAATGCACTTTATCTTTCCAAGACTGATCATATCTATGAAGGGCTAGTTTTTTATTATTTTAGAAAGGGTGAAGTTAGTGCTTAGTACTCCTAACAAATTTATTCACCGGTTCTGAACATCTGGTGGTTGATATCAGTAAATTTTGAATATGCATTTCATTGAGCTAGACTGGGTGCCACAATGTGGGTTTGGATTTTGTTTATTTTGTGTTCAAAATAGCTTATAATCTTATTGAGTTTTTTTTTTTAAAAAAAAATCTTAAAAATTAAGCAAATCCAGCATGCACTGTCTGATTAACTGCTTTCAGAATATTCTAAAATTTTGTACTCCTGATTTTCTGGGAATTAATGCCTCTCTAACTGTTAAAGAGTGCCCAACCTGCTTTGTAAGTAGATATTTATGGTTTTTATTTGGATTTAATCTATGGTTTTTGTTTGTTGATAAGTTGTATATAATCATGATGCAGGTGACAAAAACAGTTCCTGTTGAGGATGGAACTGAAGCTCCCTTACCTCATAGCCCAATTGCAGCTGAAGGAAGCATTGGAATTGAAAATGCCACCTCTGTTAATATTTCAGAGAAGTCTCTGTTTACTTCTGAGCTGAAGGAGGAACCTTTTCAGCATCAAGATAAAAATGGACAAGTAGAAGTTAAATCCAATTGTCTTACTTCAGAGCTTCCAAGGGTTAGTCTCACTAGGGAGGATGCAAATGTTAGTGCACTCTCCACAGTCAAGGTTGTAAAAATTAAAAACTTGTTTCAATGCACAGCCAAAACAAAAAACAGATGAAAAGTAGAAGCTATTTCAATGTTTTGGCCGCAAATCAAGAGCATTAATCTAATTATTGCTAATTGGTTGATAGGGTAATGGAGGAAATGTTCAGGCGCTAAAAATGCCTACTGGTGCTTTTTCTGCGGCATTGCTGGGCAATTCAGCTTCAGAAAGGAAGGTTGATCCTGATAAAAAGGTGAGCTTTTGTCATGAACATTGTGTTACATTCGGTATGTCAACTGGTTGTTTTTTCTTTTTGGCTGTCATCTTCATTTTGCCTTTCGAGACCGTAGCTTATTTAAGATTGCTGGCTCTGAATTATCTAATGAGGCATGCATGATTACACTGCCTTCTGAATTTATATGTTTGAACCACTATTTCTTCGTCTACTTATTTCAAAACTGCTTTGCTGGATTGGTTCTTAGGGCGAGGAAGAGATCAAGGTAGAGCAGATTAGGTTGTCAGTCAATCTTCCTTCCCATTCATTTTTGGGCAACAGTGAGGAGTCAAAACTAGTTGTAGAAACACCAAGTGTAGCATCTGAAACAACAGACCCACAGAAACCAGTTTCAGGTTCAGTTTCCACCTTCACTCCGCATCAGATTATAACGATAGACTCTGATACAGATTAGGAGGATATGGTGCAGAATAACCTAGAAAGCTCCAACAATCACCCGGAGGGAAATTTTGTTGTGCTCACTTCAGGAAAAGAGGATGAAGATGAGCCAATGTCTCTGTCGGAATTATGATAATTTTTAAAAATAGAGATTTAGGTCTAAATTTAGGTAGAGAAGGAGGAAAATAAAAATAATAAGATTATATTGACATTGTTGTGAATAATCTGTTGGAATTATCATATTTTGAAATTATAAAGATTTAGGTATAGGAGAAAAGCAAATAATTAAAATAATAGAAGTATATTGATATTGTTGTGAATAATGTGATATGAAGCAAAATAAAAGACAAACATTGATTTTTATTATACTAATGGCAAACTCTTAAAATCATGAAATATAAGGATATATGGAATCTTAAGAGATCATGTAAGATGTTCTAAATTATGTTTATGAAAAAACTCCAAACTATTGTAAGATCTAAGATATAATCATAGGGATAGGTTATTCTGCCTACTCTTAATTTGGCTACCTTTGCCTACCTTTTTCAACACCATTAGATTATAATCTCATCTAACGGTGGAGATTTGTAGTATAAAATAAACCTTTTTACCCCTTTCATTCTCCTTCCTGCCTCTCACCCTTTCTCTCTCCTTTTTTTCTCTATCGACCAAGACTGAGACAATTTATTGTATTGTAGAAAGTGTATTCAGCGTTTCTCTTTTAAATAATAACATATGATGATGCAACTCATTGTATTGTAGAATTGTAGCAATTGAATCAGCAAAACAAAAAAACCGATTAATGAATTTGTGCCTACAACTCATTATATTGTAGATAAATCAATCAAAAATTTTGTTTTCTTTCTCAACCATGGAGATCTCCACCCTCATTTGCACCATTCAACAATTTAGAGGTCCTTGATCTGAAAATTCCCCTTTTTATTTATTGGATTTTCTTCATTTTGTTGGTGATTGGAATTATGGGGATGAGGCTGCACCTTTTTGCTATCTCTGCCTTAAACCTGGTTTCGGTGTTTAGAATTACTGGTTTTACAGTAAAACGAATTATGGAAAAAGGAGAGAAGAGAGAAAGGGTGTAGGAGGCACTGGGGAGAAAGAAAGAGGAAAAATAGTTTATTTTATTCCGCAAATCTCTACCGTTGAATGAGATTATAATCTAACGGTGTTAAAATGGTAGGCAAAGGTAAGCAGAATAAAGGTAGGTAGAATAACTTATCCCATAATCATAATATTATAAAATATTTTTCATATATCCTAACACTTTCAATCTAAAGCTTATGAAGTTTTAAGCTTATTACAGTATCTTAAAAATAAAAAAATAATCAACAATAGAATATGGGACAAAGACTGATTGTATATTCTAAAACTTTCAAAAATGCTTTCAGTCAAACAATCAAAATAACAACCAGACAGACTGAGAAAACCGAAGAATCCAGTGTTTTGAAGTGGATTTTGAAGTGGGAAGACAAGAAGTTAGCTTTGGAGAAGATAAAGAAATTGTGTCTTCCCAGGGTGATGGTCTTGTGGAGCTACATAGACTCAGTAACAAGATGAAAAGTTTAACCACAAAACGTGGGGGACATACAAGTGATCTGACAAAATAATTGCAGCAATGTTGATTGTTGAAGATGTCAGGCATTTCTAGCTTCTGGAATCGAAGTGCATACTTCCTGTGATTAAATGCAAATAGGTTAGATTATATGCTATGTACAAAACTAACAAGAAAGCTAGATGTTGCCTTTATCAGTGTGTTCGAATCCAAGTTGAGCAAAATGAAGATCATTTATCTGTTCCTTTAACTGTTCAAATCTTTTAATTAAAAGTTTATCAGTGTGTTCGAATCCAAGTTGAGCAAAATGAAGATCATTTATCTGTTCCTTTAACTGTTCAAATCTTTTAATTAAAATTTTGTGTAAGCTGTAAGATTTATATTTTGCCTGAGCAGCTGAGGTCCAACTTATGGTTAGGATAAAGCTATGAAAATAACTTTTAAATTTGAGAAAAAAAGAGGGTTGCTTGTGCATAAGGTTATTGAATTGCATATGTTTCTTTATAGAAAAATATTGATGCAACACTATACAATCTTGATAGCTAAGAATGCCTTTGCCCGAACCAATACACTTGAGAAAAATGAAGAGATGAGGGAAAGGCCCTCTGCGTCTTTAACAATTACTTATGGCTGAGGATTGAATTCTTGGAACGGAACTCTTTCTAATTTCAGCGTACGTCAAGCTTTTATTGAATTGAGATGTGAATGCGAAAATAAATAAACTAATTTTTTTCTTATATTTTATTTGGTAGAATTAGGCTTCCCCAACTCCAAGAGGATCATAGGGCTGGACGATTTGGTTTGATTGTTAATGTGAACCGAATCAATGAAAGAGTTCAGTGTTTTGAACTGAAGTGCTTTAGAAAAAAAAGTTCGGTTTTAAATCAATTTAAAGCAATGTACTTATTTATGGAACAATTTGATTGGTTCACATGATTTTTTTCACATTTCTAAAAGTGGCATGATTTTGTTCTGTTTAGTCTTTTATTGATTTGATTCTATGAACTGAATTGATTTAGAGAAAATGTTTGGTTCATAAATTTGTTAAAAAAATATCATAAATTGAGGCCAGAAAGACTAGGATAATCCCAAACCAAAGCTACGTCGGACCAGACTTTTCTGCCAAGAGGTGGTCACTTCCTAACGTGCCTTCAGAGCTTTATCCATTCGATAAGGTATTTTCTTTTGTAAATTCCCTTGTCCCAGAAGATGCCATAGGAAGCGTTTGAGTAGGAGGAGTCAATTGTACAACAAAGCCCTGAGGTGAAGAACTTTGACTTTATTGAGGTCGTACAACAAAACCCATCAGAAGATTCAGTATTAGCACCCTTGAAAATAAATGGCGGTTAAAAGTGCTCGTATTTGATGCAAGGCCATGCTCCCTTGACTGATCCACTCTACGCTCAAGAATGTTTTGACTATAATAATTTGAGTAAAGTTCTTTTTATATTCTTCACAAAAAATACGATTTTCATTTTTGTCTTTTACAAAAAAAATAAAATTTGATTCCTCTACAATTTCAGTTTTTTGAAAATGTGATTCCTAAAAAATTCAATGAAAATTCAATTTAGTTCCAATTGCCAATTAATATGGGTATTTTCTTATAAGGGGACGAAAGTCAGGATCGTATTTTTTGTTAAGGACCCAAAATAGGCTTTACTTTAATAATTTTAACAAATCAAAGCAAACACACACACACACACACATATATATTTATCATTTCTCAAACTGCCAAGATGAATCAATGGTGATAAAGGAAGAGAGAAAAAAAAAAGAATCATAATCATTCAAAGGTGAATCAATTAATATAAAGAAATAAATAAACAAAACGACGTAATTTTAGAGTGACCGGAGATAAATATATCTCAAGCAGCTTGAGAAATATTTTTCTTATATATATATATATATGTACGTATAGGGCAAAATACTTTAACATCAGTGTTAAACTAACAAGTTTGACATTAAATTCTAGCCGTTGATTTTCGTCAATATGACACTTATAATTTTTTGAGTCACACTTATTAATTAATTAATAATTTTCAATAAATTATAACTGTCGATTTATGAAAATCAATGGTTAAGATTTGATGTTAAACTTTTTAGTTTGACATCGGTTTCAATGAATTATATATAGGGGCAAGATCCTCTTTGACACCGGAGTCAAATTTTGAATTTGACACCAAATCCTAACCGTTGATTTTCGCCAATCAACGATTATCATTTATTGGGAATCAAACTTATTAAATAATTATTAATTTTCAATAAATGATAACCGTTGATTGACAGAAATTAACAGTTAGAATTTGGTGTCAACTTTTAAATTTGACACTGGTGTCAAAGGATTCTGTAAATGATAACCGTTGATTGGCAGAAATCAACAGTTAGAATTTGTGTCAAAGGATCATGTCTCATATATATATATATATATAGAGAGAGGTAGGATCCTTTGACACCAGTGTCAAATTTGAAGTTTGACATCTTATCTAAAAGCTCTTAGATCAAAAAAGATCAATAGTATCACATGCTTATAAATCAGAATAAGTAGATCAAATAATATCTATGTTTCAGTGTTTTAACAAATAATGAGTTAGAAGGAAATACCACGTGTTGACACACCAAATTCGTAAAGCCCAATACTAAAGCAAGAAGAAAATTTTCAATGTTCAACTACCTGGATGAAGCAGTACTGCTTAAGGCATAATTACCATTTACCAGCACTTCTATCAAATTGAGTCAATGTTTTTTTGTATATGACCAGGCAATATGCTTTTTGAAGCATTATCATCCAAGATTTTTGAGTCACCCTGTAAAGCAGTTGCATACCTCTGTCAAATTCTATAAAGGGTTTTGGCAACCTTCGATTCTCTAATAAGTAGAGAAAATTTTGTGCAATCAATATTTTAACACTTGCATAATACGGGTAAAGTCTTAAAATTACATTCTTTGTTTCAGCATAATTCCCATCAGAATAACAGTGTTTTGACTACCCAGGATAGCTTTGGTCCTGAATTTTGACAATAAGCTTGAACCTTTGATAACTTATTCGCAAGAGGAGGTCTGCATTTTTGGGATTTGCCACTTTCTTCATTATTTCACACACCAATTGCAACTGCTGCTTGTGACTAACAACTAAGCTTTCTATGATAGTTCAAGGGCTGTGAAATATAATCATTCGTTGATCCTTAATGGGCTACTTGCTCATCCCCAAGTACATAGTGATTCAATTATATTCCTTGTGTGGTCCTTGGTGAACGAACCAAGCAGTTCTTGGTCATGAAGAAGCAAGTTTCACATTTAAATTTTTCTTCTCCTCTGTCCTTTAATATTCTTTTCCTATAACATTCAGAAGCTGGGTAATGCAAAGAATATGATAGTAGCACCAAATATGAACCGGGATCCATCCAAGTCATTGAACAAATGAGGACAGCGAGGGACAGAAAACTTGACTGTACAATCTTGAGCAGGTGACAGTCGCTAGGTGGCAAAACCTATTACTATAGAAGCCCACATCGAGTAACATAGTGAAAGGAAACTAGCGTTCTTAATATAAAATATGAAGCTAGCCTGCAAATAAAAGCACGGAGCTGTGTGGTGAGCACAGAGCGAACTATTCTTTCGCCTTTTACTAAAGAATACCGTGTGCTCGCCACTATAAGCAGCATACGCCTATTTTTGGAGGAGTCTTCTTCTGAGGGCTCCGCAATGCTTATTTTAAATTTTTTTGTTTAGTAACGTAGGGCTTGCTTTTGAATTCCAGTTAATTTCATTAATGAAAGGCTTTTTTGGTCAATACCGTTGCCACACTCTTTTACCCTGAATATCTCATTTCCATTGTAAACGTTCTAATAAATCTTGCGACAGTTCGACTAGCAAATTTTTTTATTTTTTTTATTTTTTGGAAAAGTCTATTTGATAAAAAGAAATTTTAAAATTTATGGCTTTTAAAATAAGTTTTAGATAAGAAGTAATTGGGAAATGTGAGTGTTAGATAAAAGTAATATTAACATTTTTTTCAACCTATCTTTTTTAGTCTATGGCTTTTGTGTCATGGACTCATGACATTCATAAGTTATTTTAGTTTTATATTTTAAATTTGAGTAAATATTTTTTTTGATTTTTACTAAATTTTACGATATTTGCTTTAATCTCTAAAAAATATAAGGGTTATTTGTGGGTTCCTAAGAAATTCGAAGTGACTTTATTTTAGTTCTTTTCGAGGGACTAATTTTAAATTTGTGTGAATTACATATAACATTTTTATTTGCTAGAGACTAAAGCGGACATTGTGAAATTTACTTAGGACCAAAAGTATTTACTCTTTAATTTTCAATTTAAAAAATAAAAATATAGAAAAAACAAGTGTTTTTTGTTTTGTATTTTTAATTTTGGAAAATGTTCAAAAAAATTCTTGTAATATTATTTTAAATCACTTTTACCTCTATATTTTTTTTAACCACTTACCTTTTGTGGTTTTTTTCATCCATATCCTTTCTTAAAACTATTAGAAGTTAATTAAGTATACATATTATATTCTTCGGAAACTGATAAAGAAAAAGGACAAAAAGAACAAAAGTGATGAAATCTTATAACATTTAATAAAGACAAAAATAAAAAATAGCACAAAAAATCAAATGATATGGGTCTAAATAAAAATTATAAATAAAAAAAAGTATAATAACAAAAACAACGAAAAAAATATAAGATCTTAAAGATAACAAGAGTGACAGAAAAGATTAAAATAACAAGATAAAAAATAATATAAATGAAAAAAAAATATTGAAGACAAAAAAATAGAAGAAGAAATCAGTTACGAATTTCTAATATATTTGATTTTTTTATTCTTGGTTTAATTTTTTTTAGATATGTTCGGTCTTTTTTTATATCTCTAATTTGTTCTTTTTTTCCTTAATTTTTTGTATGAAATCTTTAGTAGACAGAGAGACAAAAGGCTAAAAGCAATCGAGGAAAAAATCAAAATAAAATAGATCAAAAAATAAAAAATTAAACATCTAAATAAAAAATAATAAAATAGACCAAGGATAAAATTCAGTGTTATTAAACTCGGACCGACCCGGCCGGGTCAACCCGGGTTCCTGTGACCCGGTTGGGGTCACCATTCGAATCGGACATGCATTCAGCTCGTGAAGACTCGTACGACCCGATCGGTTTTTTTCGGATCCCATTGACCCGCCCGATTTTTTCCCGGGTTCGGGTGACTAAAAAGAAAAGGCAACGAAAAGGCCTCCCTTGAAAGGAAATCGACAAGCTCACTAGAAGCTTTGCCGCCTAGGGGAGAG